ATAGCTTGTAGTTGGTTAATGAACAGCAACATCAATGATTCATTTTTCCCATTCACCTTTAAAGAATTGAATGTACATTGGAATTAAAAAAAAAAAAGTATTGGTTTGAAAATAGGATACCCATAATGTCACACTAGGCATACCCACATACACTTAAAAACGCGTCCATTTTATTTGTTATAACCCATCCTGGTGTAAAACAACGGGATTCAGAAAAAAGATTGAACCACCCTGGAAATACAAAATTCCACCTACTAACTAAACGAACATATGAACATCCATACAATACGATCAATGTCAATGTTTTCCTTTTCCAAAATCCACAGTTTGTGTGATTGTGTGACCGTGTGCAAAATGAATAGCAGGCCAATACTATTGACATGCTAAAGCTTGTGGCAAAATATAGCTCAGCAAGTTTAAAGGGTAATCCAGCCCTTCTAATCATGTCAATTGTATAAAAGCAGGAAAATAATATAGATAACATATTGAGATGTTTGAGATATCAGAATAAGGCAAAATAGAGTCAGTAGGAGAAGAAATGAATACATGTAATTGTCGAATGCGCATTACTTAATTCATTCAATACTCAATTCATATTTACTTGTTGCAGGTACTGTTCAGGTAGGTGGTATGGCGGTGAGAATTAAGAAAATTACGTATTATATTTTAACACTCTTTCATTTTAATTCTGAGTCTAAGGTTGGGTGGTTTCACTTCATTTAAACCTTTTGAGACCTTTATTAGGATCAAAGGGCAATCCAACCCTTTTAATAAATTGATTTGTATGAAAGCAGTAAAGTAACAAAAACAAAAAAAGTTTGAAATGAATCGGATCAATAGTAAGGAAGTTATGAATGTTTGAAATATGAGATCACTAAGTCTATACGACTCTCAAATTGGTGGTTTGGTCAATGGATTGTGATGTAGGACGTGAATTACTCACCGATTGCCGTCTACAAAAATATCACTAATTTCTGTTTTTCTCGTAAGTTTCTTCGCCCTTGGGGCACTACTTGAAATATATTTTAGATATTAGTATAGGTCCCCTAAAAAGAATAGCCCTCTCTGAGCCATCTATCTTTTGAAACTTTTCATTTTAGTCATTTTATATGTTGGAAGAGATAGGAAAGTAGTCTGGCACTGCATCACATTGACATTACCGCTTCAGCCAGTTTAAAGTGCCCATACGTATAGTGATTACAACTTTCAAATATGCATAACTTTCTTATATTTAGTCAGATTGAATTGAAACTTTTTTCAGTTTGCTTTTATGGTTTATCTGCTTTCTTTTGGAGTAGAAATCCAATTGGGTTGGATTTCCCTTTAAATTAATGGTACATAGTTGTTCAAAATAAAAACTTTATTAGTCTTTTTTTAACTCTACACTGTAATCTCAGAAATCATTACAAAAGCGCAAAAGACTATGTCTAAAAGTTATAACAATGACCAGCATTGGTCGAAACACAATGTCGAACAAACTTCCATTGACATTTTCTTTTAAGAAATTATTTAACAAGTACATGTTTTTTCACCCAAGCTGCACAGATCTCTCCCATTGATCAAAATAATTTAACTTCAATTCTAAACCTAGCTGCGTATATAACGTAATATTATCATTTGAAGGTTTTGCGTTTCCCTTCCTTGAGATCCAGCCAAAAAATAATGTGTACAGCCTCATAGCACAGGAAAAGTTACGTAATGGTGTGGGTGTAGGTGTGTGTGTTTGTGCGTGAATATAGGCGCGTGTAATTGGGTTTTACAGACGTGTGCCAATCATACGTGATCAATCGTGTATCGGGACCAAGTTCTTTGACACTAACCGTCATAAGATGTCTTAATAGTCATGTTTATGGAACTGGTTATAACAAGAAGTTATTTTATATGGGTTCAGCATAACAAATCCCTTGTAGTGGAGAAACGCTAGGTACTCCCCCAACCTAAATAAATCAAAAGTGAAGTAGAGGAGAGAAAGTACCAGCGAAAAACGATGATGGTATAACGTTAAGACAAAGTAAAACTAACCCGGACATCCTTATATATCTATCACAGATGTTCGGCAGAGATTATTAATTTGATTTAGCTTACATAAATACATTGGACTTAAAGTTTTGAGAGCCAAGCACTAAAACATTATTACAAAACCATCACCAATCTTTAGATCAATAGGAAAGTATCACAAGAAGGGAAATATGTGTTGATGTTAATGACAATACGATGGTACGCTATATACCTGACAGTAGCCTATACTGCAACTGAAAAAGAGCCTATGGGTGTGAGATTTTACATTTAGATGTTTGAATTAAACGATGTAAGAATATCAATGTTTAATATAAATAGCAGACTGAGCAACTTCGCATTTCACTGACGACAAAGCTGATGACTGACAACAGAACTAATGAGAAGAAAAAAGGATACCTATTTAAGTTTGGGAGGCGTATTATAATATTCCTTTTTGTAAATTGTGGAAGAATAAAACACAGAAAATTGAATATAATGGCAAAAAGACATTAAAAAATCAGTAAAATATACAAAGGTATTCCTACCATTTATGATCTGATTAGTAATTTCATATATATTGCTTTGTTTCATATATACATCTACTGTGTCATAGAATTTCAAACGAAAACGTCCCCTTTCCAATAAAAAAATAAAAAGGAGGATGTATTACATAAGAATCGAGAAGTTGTGCCGAAAAAACATCACCAATCTTCAGATCAATCGGAAAGTATCTCAAGAAGGGAAAGATTGTGTTGATGTTAATGACAGTACGACAGTACAATAATATACCTGACAGTGGCCTGTACTGCAACTGAAGAAGAGGAGTAGCTCCATATCAATATATATGTTTATGGATTTGCAACTTCCATATTCTTTGTCCGCATTTTCTCGGTTTTCCCCCGATTTCCCTATTTTTCATTCTTTTTTCTGTTACCAAGCTCACTTGAGGCTAATATCCCCATATAATATTCGAGCATCATAATACAGAGAGAGAGAGAGAGAGAGAGATGAAGGGGAATAGAGAGCTAAAGAGCGAGGGGAATAGAGAGAGAGAGACAGGCAAAGAGACCGAGAGACATAGAGAGGGGAAGAGGAATAGAGAGCTGGAGAGATAGAGAGAGAGAGATAGAGAGAGAGAGAGAGAGAGAGAGAGAGAGACGAATACTGCAGCAATAAGCCAGTTTAGGCCACCTAATTTATTTCAGTTCATTGGAAATTAACAAGCGCAAAAAAAGTTTGTTGGAGAGTTGAAACAACGGCCAACTTTGACCGAAAAATAATGTCAGACAAGCTTCCGTTGAAATTACCCTCTTCAGAATGTATTTTAAGAGGGCATGTTTTTCACCAACGCTCCGCAGATCTCTACCATTGGTCATAATAACTTACTGTTATAAATGATAAACCCAGTTGCGTATGAAAACAACGTAACAATATCATTTTAATGCGTTACGTTTCCCTTCTTTTGAGATCCAGCCTTTATATCATTGAAAAAGAGGTGTGTATGTGAGTGTGTCTATGAATGTAGGAGGATGGATATGCATATGGGAGCATGACATTGCGTTTTACAGACGTGTACCAATCAGACATGATCGATTGTGTCAAGACCGAACTCTTTGACAATAACAGTAAAAAAAAAAATCAAGTTTATGGATCTGGACATAACAAGGAGTTATTTATTTACACGCGCAAACGCGCACATACTCGCACACACATACATGCACACGCACATCACACGCACCCGAACGTGGTCGAGTGGTTTAAGGCGCTTGACTTGAAGATGCGAAGGTCGAGGGTTCGAATCCCGACACCGGCACTAATATCCTTTGGCATGATATTAACCTGCACTTGCTTCTCTCCACCCACGTGTTAAATGGGTACCCGGTAAGATGCGACCGTCATTGTTGGTCAAACAGTTTTTGAGCGTCATGTAATGCCTGGCTGGAATGCTCCCCAGGGAGTGGAGATTGTGCACACGTTGTGTGCGGGCAAGCACTGAATCCAATGACCGGGGGTAATAGTATGTTTGTAAAGCGTTATATACAAATTAATATTATTATCATTATTATTATTATTATTATTATTATTATTATTATTATTATTAATATCTTTCGTTACTTTCTATAGTGATATTCAATTTTCTAGATTATAAGATTAATTATGAAATAACTCGGTGGTGGTGGTAATTTTACCTGACTGCCAAGAAAGCATAAATGCTTGTAAGTAAGCAACCGAGACCGCCGAGGGCTTGAGGTCCTCTCCGAGGGACCTGGTAATGAGGATTAATGCCTTACCAAAGGGCCCTAGCGCATCGCCTTGGTTTCGAACCCGGGTTACCGGATTACGAGACCACTGCTCTACCGACTGAGCTATCGAGTTATCCCTCGTAAACACCATTCATGTTTAATATTTCAGCAGTAGTATACTGCATTATATTCCACTGATACATGAATATATCTGCTAGGCTGAAACAATTGTCTTACTAGTTGAATAAAAAGAAGAAGAACAAAAAAAAAAATGAATATTAGTGTAAGACTTAAAGCAATACTATCCGAAAATAATAAATTCAAGTCATGAGTTCGCATCTACCTCGAAGAAGATACAACAAAATGTATTTCCAAAAAAGTCAGATAATCGTCACTAATAGAAAATATGTTTCGTGTGACATTTTCTTTCTTTCGATTTGTTTGTTTGTTTGTTTCAAATGATACTCTATTAAAATTATAAAGATAGGATCACAAGATGGTATTGGCAAGAAGGAAAAAGGAGCTTATTACAAGACGATATTGTTAGGGGTAGGGTTGTTCGCCTGAAATCTCGCTTAAAAAATCTGTTCCAGGCCTCAATATTTATAGTTTGCGCAGTACATTTAAATTTACACTACTCTCCTGATTCTACCATCTTTGCCCTAAAATAAACTGAATTGACCGTGGCTCCCAGATAAGCAGAGCTTGATGCATTGCGATTCATTTCTGATGTATATCTTTATATTTCACTTGCTACAGGGTGATTCCAATATGGGAGTAAACACTGATGGCGAGGAGATGGGTCCAGGATCATCATCAACAGATGGAGTCGAGGTAAGCAAAATGTATCTTTTTGCTAAGGCACTTTAGAAGGTTTACTCATTAAAGTTTAATAGAAATGATATCATATCTAGTTATATTTGATATTTCATGAATATGTATGAGGTTTACAGACTTGACGTTCTTACTCCTGATATTTCAAAGCATTCACAAAGAATATCTCCCACTTAAATCGTCTGATGAGCCGGACATTGCTTCTGAGCCGCAATCTACAGAGAAATTTCACTGTAATATTAAAGTGGCTAAGTAACAAATAAATTAAAGAAAAATATAATAATAATAATAATAATATGGCTTGTTTACCCAGGGTAGCCTCATCAGTATTCATACTTTTCTCCCTGAGGGCTCAGCAATCATATCATTACCCCGGTCATTCAGGCTAACCCGCACACAATGTATGCACATTCTCCACTCCCTGGGGAGCATTCCAGCCAGGCGTCATTTTTACAAGCGCTCTCTTGCTAATCTAAGCACATTAGCTTTCGCATCCTACCTGGTATCCATTTAACACCTGGGTGGAGAGTGGAAAATGTAGATCAATGTCTTGCCAAAGGACATTAGTCACCACGTGATGAATGTTTCAAATCGAACGAAAGATAAGAAACTTCAAAGTTTTAAATGTATAATCATTCTATCACAATGATGCTTCCTTATGATTTATCCCGCATGCACCCCAATTAGTGGTCCTATAAAAAAATAAAATAAAAAAAAATCGAATTTAACCAAATAAAAAGATATAGTGGTTTTATACCTATGTTCTAAATATATTATTAAAAGTGTTTTAACCATCAACAAACTCTGTAATAGAACTTTATTGTTTTCATCAGAAAAACAAATGGCCTTTAAATGACATAGTTTGTGATTGAAACCAAATTAAAGATTGATAGGTTTCCACTCCTTTTGTCGGATATTCCTCAGATTTTCACTGACCCGTTTCTCTCATTAACCCTGCCCTTATTTAAATCAAATTCAATTATAAATTATAAATGAGGTAACCCATAAATCACCAGGGCGTATTAACTAATTCAAAATGTAATATTGTTCAGTCCTCTCCAAATAGTTATTCTTTGAGTATCTAAGTGACTTAGAACAGCAGCATTGAAAATTGAAAGATGACAATTGGTCGGAGTTTCGAGAGTTTTTCGTTGTTATCGTTATTGCCAAGTTAGCTTTTCATGAGATCAAGTTCGCCAACAACCCATTGAAACGTACTGTGTTAAATTTAACATGCGTTTCAATGGGTTGTTGGTGAACTTGTACTTATGATGGTATCGTGCAACAATGCACTGATTTTCGAAAAATAACCATGACGAACAACCCCCCCCCCCCCCCACGAGGTAGTTAACTTGGACAACAACCCCAGGATAATTAAATCCCTAATAATTAGCTCCGCACAACTCCCTCATTGATTGATTGACCTCTCGTTAGCTGTCTGAGAATATAAAGTGAGATATATTTTTTGGGGTACTCTAAATATTATTTGGTAGGGGAAATGTCCTTGCACGTCATTATCTATTTTACATTGAAATATAATTAGCTACGTTTATAGATGTTCCAGACTTTTATATCAATGCATGACACACGAACGGTATTTTTGCTTCATTGGGCTTTGTTTACTAAGCTTTTAATTTTGCAGTTTAAATAGCTAGGTCGCATCGTGAGTGAGACAAATATTTTGGTAAAATAATTTGATTAGGTCCTTTAAATAAATTATACAAAAAAAAGCTTTAATTGTTGTTCTTGGGTTGAAATTAGTCAGGTCCTCTAGTAAAGCCGCTTCCTCTCATCATGCCTGGTGCTGAGTTTACGCTAAAAGCAACCCATAAACTAATTCTAACCATTTTTGGTGTATTGAAGAAGAAGCACCAGCTTTCACACTTTAAAGGGGTAACATCATGATTTAGGTAACAATAATATTCGAATTCGTTCCAGGTGACGTCATATTGTTTCCCAATTATTAGTTATGTCAAAGCGATTAATCAATTAAGATATGAATCCCTGTGACATTATGACATCAATAAATGTGATGAAATTTTGGTTTTGTTTGCTTTTGTCCAGCTCACTGAGAAATCTGGCGAGTTTGAAAAAGAGGCTGAAGATGAGAACCTTCCTCAAGACGCTGGAGGTGACGTAGGAATTCAGGAACGGAAAATGTAAGTTTTTTTCTCTTATTAATCAGTCAAAGCGTAGCCCGTGGTTGTGGTAAACCAAAAAAAAATGTTTACTAAGTATTATTAGACCTTATATTCGGGAAATTACACTAGCGTAAAACATATCGCTAGTGTATCTATCAGTGTATAACATGGAATGTGGTTAAAGTGAGGTTAAAGTGTCTTCATAAGATCGTTATCTGCATACAAAAGAACTTAATATACCGCCTTTGTTCATTCCAAAAATATAAACAAATTATTGAGATGATAAAGATAACAGCGATAATAAGATAAGAGTGCTCATCAAAATATAGAGAAGGAGAGAGAGAGAGAGAGAGAGAGAGAGAGAGGGAAGGGAAAGAGAGAAAGAAAGAGAGAGAAAGAGAGGGGAGAGAGAAAGACAGAGAGAGAGAGAGAGGGGGGAGGAAGGGTGATGTCGAATAGGATAGCTATTATTTATGAATAGAAAGTAGAACGAATAACGCGATCATAACAGATGTATCTATGCCTATATATTTTAATTTTTCTCTATTGACACCAGACATGAAACCATTTGTTTTGAACCACCATTACATGTAACCATTCATTGCATATACTTGGATAATCATTGCAACTAGTGATGTCACGCTTGTCCCACATAAAGTTCATTTTCTAGCTAAACAGTCGATTTCCCGTTTCAGTACCCAGCCCTTTATATTTGTTAAGTAATTTTGTCCTTCTCTTAGATGAAACTCGGTAAGCTACACTCACTTCTTTATGAGACTCAATTTTATAATTGAACATTATCCGTTCAGTTTAATGCTCGTTAACGGCAACCCTTTTTATTAAAGGTTTTATTTCGTAACGCTAACAAACCGTTGGCATTGTCGGTGTCAAAATCTTTGAATTTAATTGTTCCTTGTTCCTTACACCTTTTACTAAAGATGAAACTAATTCGCCTCTATCTGATCATTTTGATATTACATTTTATTCAACAATTTTACATTGTTCCTTACGAACCGATATTGACAAAATGCATTGATTTGCTTTCAATTTCCTTTGAAAAGAAATAGCCGGGGACGTAGACCATGATCTAATCAGGCAAATACATACAATGAGGTATCAGTACGCGGTAAGGGACTTCAAATGTCGCATTTTAGATTTCAAACAAATGAACCGCCCCCTCCTCCTCCCCCGAATATGGTGTCAGCCTCAAATGACATCATGTAATGTTATTGCCTATTTTCAAATGCATATTATTTTATTGCTTTTTGCTTAATGTCATGTTCTTGATACAAACTAAATTAAGTTCCAATTGATCGTTTTATTTTAGAATGGAATTGGAACAAGTATAAGTCAAAATGACGCAAATGATTTCACAAATTTTAAATGCCTGGTTCCATAATATCACATTGAGTACAACATTATAAACATGCATTTTGTTATAGGGCCATGGGAACTGGTATACCGCTGATCACATTACTGCGAAACATGCCAGCACAACATACATCCGGTGCTTTGAATACTGAACACAATAAAGCACAGAGAGAGCATACAGATGGAGAAGATAAAGGACTGTCTAATACTCCTACATTACTTCGACCTAATGTAGATATTGAGGACGTAAAAACAGAGCTGTCACAGGGCGCTCTTGTAAATTTGAATACAAACACATCTGCTGATGACAAATTCGTCAAATTGGAAGAATGCACATCTCCTCTGCTGCCAGGAGACGTCATGGACATCTTAGAGACTGATACGAATGATGCTTCATATGCAATGTATACCACACTGAATGAAGAATCACAGAGCGATGTCAGTGCTTCCAAACCAGAGCTACCATTCAACCCTGACATAGACCAGCTGGATGAGGAAGGATACACACTGCTCTACAAGGCAGCTTTAGAAGGTCATCTCGAAGATGTTGACGACCTCATTTCACGGGGAGCCAATCCAAATAAACCAAGTAAAGGTGGACTCCGTCCTCTTCATGCAGCGGCTCAAGAAGGACATGCACAGATCGTTGACTTCCTCATCCTTCAAGGGGCGGACGTGAGTGTTGAGTGTGAACTGGGTCAGACACCTCTTCAAACAGCGGCTGCAAAAGGTTATGTTCACATCTTAGAGAGCTTCATTGCAGAAGAAGCTAATGTGAATGTGGAAGATAACACTGGCTGGACACCTTTCAATGTTGCCGTTCAATATGGTCATACAGAAGCTGTCCAATATCTTATGACTGAAGGAGCAAAGCGAAACAGGTATTGTGGAAAGACCCCACTCTACGCTGCAGCGTATTTTGGTCATTTAGATATCGTCAAATTTTTCATTTCGAAAGGAGCTGGTATGAACGAAGAAGATGACGAAAGGATGATTCCTCTCCACGGGGCAGCTGCTCGAGGCCACGTGAAAATCATAAAATGTCTCATTCATCAAGGATCTGATGTGAACAAGAAAGATGCCAAAGATTGGACACCATTCAATGCAGCCGTTCAAAATGGCCATCTAGAAGCTGTCAAATATCTCATGACTAAGGGAGCGAAGCTGAACAGATGTGATGGAAGGACCCCACTCTATACCGCTGCACGATTAGGTCATTTAGACATCGTCAGATTCCTCGTATACAAAGGAGCTGATGTGAACGAAGAAGATGATTGCGGGATGATTCCTCTCCACGGTGCAGCTTCTGGAGGCCAGTTGAAAGTCATGGATATCTCATTCAGCAAGGCTCCGATGTAAACAAGGGTGATGTCGATGGTTGGACACCGTGCAATGCTGCTGTTCCAAGGGGCCATCTTGAAGTTGTCAAATATCTCATAACTAAAGGTGCGGAGCAAAACAGATTTGATGATATGACCCCACTCTATGCCGCAGCAGGCTTTGGTCATTTAGATATCGTCAAATTCTTCATTTCCAAAGGAGCTGATGTGAACAAAGAAAATGAAAATGGGAGGATTCCTCTCCATGGTGCAGCTATCCGAGGTCACATGAAAGTCATGGAATATCTCATTCAGCATGGATCTGATGTGAACACGAATGATGTCGATGGTTGGACACCATTCAATGCTGCCGTTCAAAGTGGCCACAAAGAAGCCGTCAAATATCTCATGACTAAAGGAGCAAAACAAAACAGATTTGATGGAATGATCCCACTCTATGCCGCAGCACTATTGGGTCATTTAGATATCGTCAGATTCTTCATTTCCAAAGGAGCTGATGTGAACGAAGAAGATGACGAAGGGATGAGTCCTCTCCACGGTGCTGCTACTCGAGGCCACCTGAAAGTCATGGATTATCTCATTCAGCAAGGATCTGATGTGAACAAAGTTGACATCAAGGGTTGGACCCCTTTCAATGCTGCTGTTCAATATGGTCATCTAGAAGCCGTCAAATGTCTCATGACTGAAGGAGCGAAGCAGAACAGATATGCTGGAATGCCCCCGTTCTATGCTGCAGTACTATCTGGCCATTTAGACATCGTCAAATTCTTCATATCCATAGGAGCTCGTGTAAACGAAGAAAATGAAGAAGGAAAGATTCCCCTCCACGGGGCAGCTGCTCGTGGCCACGTGAAAGTCATGGAATATCTCATTCAGCAAGGATCTGATGTGAACAAAGTTGACATCAAGGATTGGACCCCTTTCAATGCTGCTGTTCAATATGGTCATCTAGAAGCCGTCAAATGTCTCATGACTGAAGGAGCGAAGCAGAACAGATATGCTGGAATGCCCCCGTTCTATGCTGCAGTACAATCTGGCCATTTAGACATCGTCAAATTCTTCATATCCATAGGAGCTCGTGTAAACGAAGAAAATGAAGAAGGAAAGATTCCCCTCCACGGGGCAGCTGCTCGTGGCCACGTGGAAGTCATGGAATACCTCATTCAGCAAGGATCTGATGTGAACAAAGTTGACATCAAGGGTTGGACCCCTTTCAATGCTGCTGTTCAATATGGTCATCTAGAAGCCGTCAAATGTCTCATGACTGAAGGAGCGAAGCAGAACAGATATGCTGGAATGCCCCCGTTCTATGCTGCAGTACAATCTGGCCATTTAGACATCGTCAAATTCTTCATATCAATAGGAGCTCGTGTAAACGAAGAAAATGAAGAAGGAAAGATTCCCCTCCACGGGGCAGCTGCTCGTGGCCACGTGGAAGTCATGGAATATCTCATTCAGCAAGGATCTGATGTGAACAAAGTTGACATCAAGGGTTGGACCCCTTTCAATGCTGCTGTTCAATATGGTCATCTAGAAGCCGTCAAATGTCTCATGACTGAAGGAGCGAAGCAGAACAGATATGCTGGAATGCCCCCGTTCTATGCTGCAGTACAATCTGGCCATTTAGACATCGTCAAATTCTTCATATCCATAGGAGCTCGTGTAAACGAAGAAAATGAAGAAGGAAAGATTCCCCTCCACGGGGCAGCTGGTCGTGGCCACGTGGAAGTCATGGAATACCTCATTCAGCAAGGATCTGATGTGAACAAAGTAGACATCAAGGGTTGGACCCCTTTCAATGCTGCTGTTCAATATGGTCATCTAGAAGCCGTCAAATGTCTCATGACTGAAGGAGCGAAGCAGAACAGATATGACGGTATGACCCCACTTTATGCCGCAGCACAATTTGGTCATTTAGACATCGTCAAATTCTTCATATCAAAGGGAGCTGATGTTAAGGAGGAAAATGATGACGGGGTAATTCCTCTCCATGGTGCAGCGTGTAACGGTCACATTAAAATCATGAGATATATAATTCAACTTGGGTCGGATGTAAACAAGGGTAATGCCAGGGGTTGAACACCATTCAATGCTGCTGTTCAAGAGGGTCATCTAGAAGCCGTCAAATGTCTCATGACTGAAGGAGCGAAGCAGAACAGATATGATGGAATGACGCCACTCTATGCCGCAGCACAATCTGGTCATTTAGACATCGTCAAATTCTTCGTATTCAAAGGAGCTAATGTGAACGAAGGAGATGAAAAAGGAAATATTCCTCTCCATGGTGCAGCTTTTCACGGTCATTTGGAAGTCATGGAATATCTCATTCAGCAGGGATCTGATCTGAACAATGAAGACAACACTGGGTGCACTCCATTTAATGCCGCCGTTCAAGAGGGACATTTGGAGGTCGTACGGTATCTCGTGAATACACGGGCACAGCAGAACAGATATGATGGAATGACCCCTCTTTATGCCGCAGCACAATGTGGGCATTTGGAAATCGTCAAATTCTTCATATCCAACGGAGCTGATGTGAACGAAGAAGATGATGAAGGCATGGTTCCTCTCCATGGTGCAGCTATTGACGGTAATGTTGAAGTTATGAAATATCTCGTTCAGCTAGGGTGTGACGTGAATTGGAGAGACAAAACTGGATGGTCACCATTTAATGCTGCTGTTCAATACGACAATCTTGAAGCCGTTAAATATCTCCTGAGTATGAAGGCGGCGCAGAATATATATAATGGAATCACCCCACTCTCTTCCGCAGCAAGATTTGGTCATGTGTACCTCGTGAAATACTTCATTTCCAAAGGAGTAGATGTCAACGAGAAAAATGATGCAGGACGGATTCCTCTTCACGATGCAGCTATTCACGGTAATACTGAAGTCATGGAATATCTCATTCAGCAAGGATCTGATATTAACAAGGGTGACCTCAAGGGTTGGACACCATTCAATGCTGCTGTTCAATATGGTCATCGAGAAGCTGTCACATATCTCTTGACTAAAGAAGTAAAGCAGAACAGATATGATGATATGACTCCACTCCATGCCGCAGCACATTCTGGTCATTTAGAAATCGTGGAATACTTCGTTTCCAAGGGAGCTGATGTGAACGAAGAAGATGACAAAGGGATGATTCCTCTCCATAATGCAGCTGCTCAAGGCCACGTGAAAGTCATGGAATATCTCATTCAGCAAGGGTCAGATGTGAACAAGACAGACACCAAGGGTTGGACACCATTCAATGCTGCCGTCCAATATGGCCATCTAGAAGCTGTCAAATATCTCATGAATGAAGGAGCGAAGCGGACCATACACGATGGGATGACCCCACCCTATGCTGCAGCACATTTTGGTCATTTAGAAATTGTGAAGTTCTTCATTTCCGAAGGAGCTGATGAGAACGAACCAAATGACAAAGGGGTGACTCTTCTTCACGGTGCAGCTGCTCGAGGCCACTTGAAAGTCATGGAATATCTCATTCAGCAAGGATATGATGTCAACATGAAAGATTGCAGAGGTTGGACGCCATTACATGCTGCAATCATAAATGGCCATTTGAAAGTTGTCAAACTTCTCATGGTGAAAGGAGCTGAAAGTACCTGGTTTGACGGAATGACCCCACTTTGCATCGCAACACAGTATAACCATATCGATGTGGTAAAATTCCTTGTCTCCAATGGATATAATGTGAACGACAGAAATGAATGCGGCAAGTCCCCTCTTCATGCAGCATGTTACAATGGCAACATGGATATCGTGAAATTTCTCCTTCACCACAACGCTAATGTCAATGAACAAGATCATGATGGATGGACACCACTCCATGCCGCTGCACAAGAAGGACACCAAGACATAGTCGATTACCTTGTATTGAATGGAGCAGACTTTGACGCAAGGGACATAGATGAATTGACAACGCTTCAGGCAGCAGCGAACGCATGCCATTTGAATGCAATAGAAGACATCTCACCTTCTAGAGGTGACCTGGATAAGGAAGAAAAAGGAGCCCTACGACCTGGAGGCCACCAGAATCACATCACAAGAGGATATGTGACGGTGACAATGAAGGATGCAGACACGCAGCCACTAAACCCATCTCAGATAGACAATGCAGAGGAGGGAAATGACTGCATTCAAGCTCATAATTCGAAGCGAGGAGCCGATGAACCCTCCTTGAAGAGTCTTCCCGTAAGGACCAATGATGATGGACAGGGTGGCAATGAGGAGCACAATCCTTTCATTCAGGCTAAGCTGAAATATCCTGACAAAAGTGAACAAGTTCCGATGCTAGATCGGATGAAGGCAATAACGTGCCCCGATACAAGAAAAAGATGCACCACAACAAATGGCACAGACTTTTCTTCACCGCGTGGAGCTCAGACAGGGCAATACAGCGTATTTGATCCACCCTATCTACAAACCATGGAGAATGACGGTCACCCGTCTGAAGAACCGGAATCCAGAGGTCGCTCACGAATTGACGAAAACAGGGAAATTCGAGTGAGTGGTTATTATTTGTTTAAGTTTTCTCTAAACAAAGCATATGCAATATATTTGATTGAAAATTTTGGATAGAAAAGATAATGGAAAATACAAATATGTTTAGAAGCAAACATTCAGCCAATTATAATATCTTCATAGAGAAGAAAAACAAAGCTTCGTAGAAAGCAAAATGAATGAACGTTTGTACATAGCCCTACGGTGTAGATTCATATGTTTGGCTTCAAACACACCTATGCATGACAAAATGAAAAATTACATGCAACGCTAATTTACACAATGGTCATTTATTTGTGTTGTAAGAAACAATAATGTGTTCATTCTATGCATGACTTTTGAATTTCGTCTTTCTCGTTGATTCGTCTAATTCATGCTAGAGCATCCGTGCTAAGCAAAACTAATTGTCGCCATTATGTTTTCTTAGTTCATATCGTTCCACAGCATTCTAATGTGACATTTTCTCTGTCAGGAATCTTCTTCACCGATGAATGCTGGTAATGATCCTCCAATTAACAGAACATCAGAGATTGAGAGGTACTAGTCATTTTCAATTTCTTTTATTATGAGGAAACCTTATTATTCGTATAACGAGATGTATTTAGTACATACATTTCGCTCCACAATGAACTTCATCATTAGTAACAACATTTTTTTCATGTTCATTGAATATTCAGAATTATTGTGTATATTGTTCCTTATGTACATGAATTTGAAGAAAAAAAACGATTATGAACGTAAACTGTATGATATCACTTATTAGTAGGACTAGAGCACTTTTGGATTTCTTACCTACCTGGACTTGAACCTTATGAAGATGGAGACCAGTGAACCAACACCTGATGCGGTACCCATGGCACTGTGAGGGTCAATATTTTAAATCTAAGTATTTTTCCTTTGCCATATGTGGGCTTTCTTCGATGTAAATGTATGTCTATTTGTCAATATTTCTATATTTCAGAGATTTGAAGGACCCAATTTGATTGGCTTTTTTGTTGTCTCACCTAATTTCTACAATTAAATTCAACAGCTTCCCTACACAACCACCAGCTGCCGTTCACCAAAAGTTGTATGACGGAAACCCTGTCACCTCCCACGGAACCACCTTACACCCATATTGGGAAATCAGGGTAAGAGAGAAGTATTGCCTCCATTTATCATTTTTAAATAACTTGCTATTGAAGATATGAAAAAGTGTAACAACTTTATGATAAAAATGGATTATTGTTCTGCATCTATGCAAAACAAAACTCAATCATTAACCTTTATCAGTAGTTTTAATGCTGATTAAACGACAAGAGTAATCTCTATGAATTGTAGAGGAAGGCTTTTCGATGAAATAAGGATTTGCTCTTTTCATTCATTATTTCAATTTATTTCAATTCAGGTTTGTATTACCTCGTAATATTCTGTATTATTTTGGGGGCGATTAGAAATTATTGTTACTAAATTATTCCCATTTTTAAAAATGTGACTGGTTTCCCGGTGGAACATTGGACGACAGCATTGATTAGTGTCCATCCAGTGTTATCTTTTTTTTTTATTCACACCGGATCCTTGCTGAATGACGTATTCAATGACTTTGTCAAATTTTAATCCTTTCAATCCAGGCCCTCGGACAAACTTTCCTGCAGATGATTATCGCTTTGGCCATCATTCTTGCTGGAAGTCCGGTTCTCGTAGCAGGTAGGGCTAACACCGAACGGGTCACGCTAAAAGCAGGTAAATCTGGTGTGGTCCCATTCCATCTCACATTACCACCTAGTGATACAGATACATCCCAGGATGTTCCATTTTACACACTTCGGTTCGAATCTAATCTTCGTCCATTCTCCATAAATGGAAAAGTAGATATCAAGGGCTTTAAAAACCCATCCCAGATACGAAGATTTTCAACCTCATTCACATATTTAGACATCTCTCCTTGTGTGAATCTGATGATAGAAGACGTTGATACTATGGATGAGGATGGGTACGTATTAACGGCAGTCTGGCATAGTTTTGAGGGCGCTTGGTATGAAACTATGAAGAAGGAGATTGTTGTTCAAATTACCCCCGGACCTGCCAAATGCTTTATCACTTTAAGTGAAAATATTGATTATCCCTATGAAGTACACTGTCGAGCCACCACTGGAAGCGTTACAACCACACTATTGTGTTACCAGAATGATCAGATGATTGACGTTAAGGGTGATATTACAGATAATGGGCTAATTACCAGTGGTATATTCTGGCTACTCGATGACAGTCATTTCTCTTGTTGCTCACATGATGTAATTTCATATGTGAATGAAACAATGTGCAACGACTTCGTGTGGCCACCTATCAAAGAAACTACAAGGCAGATTGTTAATACTGTACCTACATCGTCTACCACTCCCACACCCCAGATAGAGTCTCATGCAGGGTCTGGGGCTTGTAGGCAATTCATGCTTCCTTCCCTGTGGCACCTCACGTACCTGTTTGTATACCTCCTCTACGTTTTTACAATCCATTAAGACAAAATATCCATATGCGTGATATTCACTTTCTTGTTTAAAAAATATTATAATACTAACAAATACATGAAGAAATAATTTTTCGTTCAAATTCGAATTTCATTTATTAATATATTGTGAATAGAGTGTTTGTTTGTCTTATTTACTATATTGGCAATATGTTATTCATGCTAATTTTAGTTTCTTCAAAATCGCTATTGAAAACCATGTATAATGAAAAAGAATTGTTGCTTGATCAATTAATCTCCAAATATATTTCACATGTATGTATACACCTCCCAATGTATTGATATTAATGCTTGTATTATGTTATGGAAGGCCATTTCCAACACAAGCCACGCACGATAGAGAAATTGTGCTTCATTGCAGAATATGATGTAATATAAGCAACTTTATACTGAGTTATGTGTAGTGTATATCACATGTTAATTTCATAATCTAAGAATATTTGATTCCCAGAGTTTGAATAAGTTATAAAACGAAAAGAGGAACACTTTAATCACATACAAGTAGCAAGTTTCTTTACATTATCTTTGTAAATAGAAAAAGTATACAATGTGATTAATGTGAATCCGTCAAAGGCAGATTGAAATCCTCCTTCTTTTACTTTCTCCTTCTTTTACATTCTCCTTCTTTTACATTCTCCTTCTTTTACTTTCTCCTTCTTTACATTCTCCTTCTTGTACTTTCTCCTTCTTTTACATTCTCCTTCTTGTACTTTCTCCTTCTTTTACTTTCACCTTCTTGTACAATCTCCTTCTTGTAAACTCTACTCCTCTTACATTCTCCTTGCCACATAAGGCTTAGAGCTGACCCAAATATGTTATTCAGTTATGTTATTCTCTTGATTGCATTTCATGAATATCTTTATCTTGAATCGGTTATCTGGCATACGGTAACGAACCCAGGTGTTGTTTTCCCCCTGTCCAGTTTATTGCGTACTATATGTACAGTCTATACGGCCTTAAATATTTACCATACGTAATGTTGCCAAAACTTTGATCCTGCTATCACCTTTTGAATATTTGTTGTGTCATCTATCTGGAATTTAAGTGCACCAATTTCAAATATCTATGTCAGTCGCAGTTTAAATGCCATGGCTTTATAATGAAACTCATTGTGGACTTACAATATTTGATTTGCATTTTATCATACATAAGAAAAATCATACATTTTTAATACCTTATAGCTAACCTCAATTCATAGATTTTTTGTAAGGCTAAGAATGTCTATGGACTGCGTTCTTTATCTTGTAAATGAGTGACCTTATCATATTGTAAATACATGCAAGTTATTAAAATGGCCAACCTCTTTTGTATTCGGGGGGAAATTAAATGCTTTGATTGTGCACATTTTAAAGTTATCTTTGACATTCACACCGACGTGCTTGCTCATATTGTCCATTTATTGCACATTTGTTTTAATTGTATTTAATGAAACAATGTCTTTTAATAAAATTAATTCATGGATAACACATTTTGAAATCTTCATTAAAGTATGCTTGTAACTATTAAACGGTCTAATGTTGCTATTGGAGAATAACAGAAACAGACTTTTAGAGATCCGTTTTTGTTGCTGTTTATATTAATGCTCGTAAAAGGACGATGTAGAAAATAAGCCATTACCCCAGACATGAAGAGCTGAGAAGCACTCAAACCAATAATTAAATAGTTAACAAATAAACGCATACATGAGAGTTTATACAACGCAGCCTGTTTAATAGCGTCTTTGTATAGGTGTATTGGAAATATGAAATTTGTAAGAAATATTGGAAATTATCAATGTTAATAGCAAATGCTGTATATTATTCGTCGATATAGGTCATTTTTATTGTTTATGAAATATTTACGATTTATAAGGACATCGTTTTTAATATTTTGCCTACCATTGGAGCTTATGTTATAAATTGACATTTTATATATATTGTATTGTTGAGTTTAGTATGCATATTGTACAGTTATCTATGAAAATTGTAGTCAATTGATTGGCTAAGATTGCAATGCATAATAACCGAACCTCTCTGCGTATTTTGAATAATGAGTTACGAAAGTTCGAAGTCGTAGTAACGAAATGATTAATGTTGTATATATATATATAACCTATTATTTTACTCAATATTGTAATCATGATAATAAAACGCAAACTTCTTGGTATTTTGTGATAGAGTAAGTGCATATATTGTGCACATTTTGAAGTTATCTTTGACGATCATACCCACATACTTACCCATATAACGAAAGTATGTTGGTAACAAAGGGACTAATTTCCTATTAAAAAACTGATATACACCAAAATACCACCCATGATGAGGAGAGACAAACTAAAAACAATAATTGAACTAGACTTTAATTCGTCACTTTGACGAATTAGGTGATACGTAAGCTATTTTTGTATCATGAAAGTGTGCCGATGATGATCTAATGATAATATTCATAAATACGATAATGACGATATTGATGATGAAGATTTTTTGGTTTTAAATGACGATGACCATGATTAAAAGTGGTATAGCGCCCCCTTCAGGTGCTTGATAGAGAATTGCTATATGATTAAACTATTAATTTACTAAACAATTGCAGAGCCTACCAATCATTGAACTGATATTTCGACGCACTACATACGCAACATAATGAACAAGTCTAGACTGGAATGTAGTATCAATCACCTCCCATAGGCATAAGACGCATATTAAGCAAAAATCTAATGACGTCATCAAATTGGTAATAATCTTGTGAAGAATTGTCTCAGCTACAACATATCAAAATGTAGAAGAAAATTGATCAATATTCGCAGAGATACAATCATTTTCCGTAAATATGTTGACGTCATAATATGCAAATTCGTATTTTGAGTTCCAAGGTCAATATGATTATGTAAAAATATACTTAATGGCCAAATGAGACATGAAATAATATATCCGACTCATACTCTATCTAAATATGAAGGAAAAAAAATGGCAGTCCTTATTCATCCCTATGTACTTTTTATAGGCATGTTTTTGCCCATTTCTGCTATATAATACATGAGCTAGCACGCACGGATATTTATCTTCAACGGACGCTCATTCCGTTATTAATAGTGATAAAGAGATGAACATGGTCTCAAATTGTTCAGAAAAATATGAGGAATATCCTGTCAAAAACAATTGAGGGGTAATTATTTTTCGTTCGGCCATGCGAACGAAAACGCGCAAAAATGCGTGTTTTGCACGATTTTTTATGAAATGTTTATAATGGCCTGAAACATATGCAAAAAAAATTTAAGATGATTTGGAGCAATTTAAAATTTTACGCGCGCGTTGACGCGCGCAGAAACGCGTACGCGCATTTTTGCGCGCATTCATTGACCTGAAATTGACCGGACGGATATTGATCTTAATCCTGATAATTATAAATGAGAAATTCCTTTCCGTTATGAAGATATGATCAAAATGGCGCCTGGATGACGTCACGATAATTTTGACTCTCTAAAAAGTCACGCAGTTCTAAGTTAGACTAAGATCTATAATCATGGCAAGTTTCATGATAATGGCTTTATTCAGTCATGAGATATCCTGCGAACAAATTCGAGGAAGAATAATAATAAATAAATAAATAATAATAATAAAAATCTTGACGAAATCAAAAGGTGATACGTATATTTCATACGTATCACCTAATAATTAACACAATTATGTATGTACATATTCTGATTTATGGCTATACAATATAAGATACCTATATATATAATTTACAGATATCCAATGAAGGTAACAATGGTACATGTAAGTATAGAAGAAGTAAATTCCTAATGTATTTGAAATCTTGCAAACGAGAGAAATTATAAATTATCTTCCTTTGTAAATAATGTTATCACTATTCCATATAACGTATACTTTTACTTAGTGTTCCAGTGTTCTTCTATTCATTTGTGAATAGTAATTTTTGTAAATAATAAATAGATAAAATAGATGTATAGAATGTACATATCCCTTTTCTTTTAGTTTCAAATATGATCAGTATGCTTCCATGCCTCTCAGTGCGTTATGTTACTATTAATATACGTTAACGTCGTTTCAAAACAACAGCAACCACAATTTATCGGCTGGTTATTATGCACGAACAATGTTATACTCTCATGAATTTCACTCGTTTTTTGCACTTTGTTTTTTAAAAACTTGAAAGTGTTTGCTTTCTCGCTTTTCTCTGGAATAAAGAACTTGATGATTAAGCAATGTAAATGACATTATTATGTACCCATACAGGAATATATATTGTTTTACAGTGTTTTGCTTTGTTGTAGTAGAATGAAATCCATATTACAAGGGTTCACATATTAGAAGTGTAAATATAAAACAAGAAAAACAGACAAGCGAAACAGGTACCACTTCAATGCATGCATGTATTTATATCCTATACAGTCTGTTAAAAAGCGTCTTTGTAGAGGTTTATTGGCCTCACTTTGCGTGATGAGGAAATGGTAATATTAATAAAGAACTTATGTACGTATTGTTAATAATATGATATGAAATGTGGAAGGATTATAATGGTAATCTGTGGTATTCGTTAATGATGTAGTTTATTCATTAATGTATTGTATGTTAATCGTTCACATGAATTGATAATGAATTGTATATAAGGAATATTGTTGTCAATATTTTGCATGCTTTGCAGCATATCTTCTGTATTTGTACGGAAGAGTATAGTATGCATATGGTACAGTAATCTACGAATGTCATAGTAAATTCCTTTAAAAAAATCGTGTACAATAACAGAACATCTATGCGTATTTTGATGTACAAATATCGAAAGTTTCAAGTCTTATTAACGAAATTATCACTGTTGTATATGTATATCACTCATTATTCTACTCAATATCATAATCATGATAACAAAAGACCAACCTCTTTTGTATTGGGGTTAGAGTAAACGTTTAGATTGTGCACCTTTTCAAATTATTGCTGACAATATTAATGGTAATAAGTGGTAGTCGTCAATGATGTATTTTATTCATTAATATATTGTTATTATCTATTCACATGAATTGACAATGACTTGTATATAAGGAATATTGTTGCCCATATTTTGAATTCTTTGCAGCATACCTTCTGTATTCGTACAGAAGAGTATAGTATACATATTGTACAGTAATCTACGAATGCCATAGTAAATTCCTTTAAAAAATCGTGTACAAGAACAGAACATCTATGCGTATTTTGATGTACAAATATCGAAAGTTTCAAGTCTTATTAACGAAATTATCACTGTTGTATATGTATATCACTCATTATTTTAGTCAATATCATAATCATGATAATAAACCAACCTCTTTTGTATTGGGGTTAGAGTCAAAGACGTTTAAATATAATTACTAGACGGAAAGCAGCACGCGCGGAAACCATGCAGACGAATGGGATTAGGCTCCGCCTCTTTTGGATCATTTGAAGACAAAATAAGCACCCGAGGCGGCTTTCTGATTGGATAAGAGCCTCATGAATATGTATTTTATCGATAGTATCGTTTAAGAAACCGGATAATGTATTTGACCTCATTGCGTCACTTTAATTATGCAGATTTATGCACGACGCTACTACACTCGCACAAACTGAGAAGAGTTAGTTCATTGAGAATGGGTGAGTAATTGATTGAAATATGAGTAGATTAAGTGAATTTAGTCATCAATTTTGAAAAAGCTGCAATAGTCTTTGTGATCTACGGTAATTTCGTTACACTGTGAGACCGTTCTCAACAGATTTTTGGGGAAAAGACTAGGAAATTATTACTCTTGAAATTGAACTTTGATTTTCATCGTCATGAAGTAGTTTGACTGCGGTTTGCCGTCATTTCACCCTAGTACTCCAGTTAGGGGCCCGGCCGTTCCGGCAGGCCCACCCGGGGAATTTTGGTGCTCATCTGCATCAAGATCATACTTTCTAATCAAGTTTTATTTCAGATTTGATCGTCATCATGAATCTAATTCACCAATCATCGATTTAATTTAAATCTAGATTTAACGTTACACCTTACAATAATCTCTGAAGCATGATTTTTTTGATAATCCAAGTGGATTAATTCTTGTTAAAATCTTTAACTTGTTAGTAGATGTTGACTCTGATGGCTTTACTTGCAGTGCCATCCGTTCGCTCAGTTGCATCTGTGTCAACTTTATTTAGACCAAAATTATCTGTGACCATTGATAATCAAACAACTCCAAATCCTATTTCATTTAGATGTAAACCTGGAACTATTAATAAAAATTATTAAAAAAACATCAACACTAGGATTTGTTTATTTAATAATTAGATTTTGTGTGGGTCCAGCATGCATGCTTGAGCAAGTTATCATTTAGAGTCTAGACCTTGACCTTACTACTAGATCTAGATCTAACAAAGTTAGACCCCTATCAGTGGCGTACGCAGGATTTTTTCAAGGAGGAGGGGGGGGGTTAACATTTTGAAATCGGACCAAAAATTTCGCAACGACTCAGCCAGCCACTGAATAAGCATGGGGGGGGGGGGTTAGGTCATCCATTTGGATTTTTTTTTTTGTATTAAAAAAAACACTAAAAAAAAAAAGGGGGGGGGGGTTTCCACAAAAACATACACATAAAAAAAAATGAAGGTAGGGGGGTTTACCCCCCCCCCCCCCGCGTTCGCTTCTGACTCCTGTTATTACTTTTAATATATTTGAGATTTTTTTCTTCTCTGAATTGTGCAGTTCATGTTGATAAATCTATTTGTTTGTGTAAGAGAAGACCCCTTGTCCACAATTATGTTTACTTATGAAGTCCACTTCTTCTTGTCTTAATAAACCAATTCTACTTAAGACCACTTTATATTTATAGGCCATATAAAGCACTTTTTTAGGCACACGTTAAATCTTCCATTTGATTTTACTTCGTACTGTGGTCCATTAAATTGGAATGTTGATTTCCACACTATATCAAAATTAAGGCCAACCATGACATGAAAAATAGCTTTTATGCTAGATCTATTTTTATTTTGTTAAGGAGAAAGGGACGCCTTGATTGTCGTATTGATTTTGTTTTCTTTTTGTTCCAACAGATGGAAACTGATGAAGAGCTGGACGGAGTTAAATGATGAGTAGACATTACAACAATTGAACATTTCTTATATTTTCAAGATGAAGCTGAAAGTCCCATGCAGGTAAAATTTTCAGGATATTTAGTACACAAATATTAAACCACCACCTATTAATTCACTAAAAAGGAAATGGAACTAAGTTTATGTTTCAAGTGTGTATAGTGGAGGGAATATTTTATTCTAGTTCTTCCCTTTCTTTGTTTACAAAGGGATTTGTCCTTATTTACAGGAGGTCCTGTGTGTAGAAGAACGATGTCTAATGCACATTCAAAGCACTACATAATAATGATAATGATCATACATGTAGGGTATACACAGTACCCCTCATTACTTTTTTTTTGTAAGTGGTCCTTTCACTTCTTGAGCAATGAAGATGAAGAAGAACACAACATAAGATTAACGAAAGTCTGTTTATACGATGAATTATGGTTGATATGTATCTATTATTATCACTTTTTAATTGAAGTACCTACATTGCTTTCTCTTATGTAGGATGATGCTTCTCTACAGTGGATGATGAAAGCATGCTGATTACAAACCCAGGAGAGGAATAAAGAACAGATATTGACAGAATCATATCTAGAGATGTGGGCCTACTGCACTTCATACAAGCAAGTGTGCTAATATACCATGTAGGTACCCCCAATAAACTATTGTAGAACACATTTATCATGCAGAAAGTTATAGATCTGACAATTATATGTTTCATTGTCCATTGACTTGTAAAAGAATACTTGACTGAATATCACAATTGTGATTTAGATTAAAACTAAAATGTCAATATGTATGAAATATTAAACGTATGTTTCAATAGCATTATTTCCTGTACATTCTCTGTACCAAGTTGTTTGGTCATTTTATGTAAACCGAGTACTATTCATTTATGACCACGAGTTTACATTACAAGTACATTGTACATGTACCAGTATTACTTATTTCATACTTGTCTGATCCAAGCTCCATCAGGCCTATTGTCTTAATGGGATCATCAGAAATAATCTAACATGTGGTCAGTAACTAGTCTTGTAGGAAAAAAAGTTTAGGTTTTCCCACTAGAACCCCAAGTGAATATTAGTCCTTCCTCTTTTTGTCAGAGCAGGTATCAGGGTGTATGTTATTAGTTGTTGTTTATTTTCTTATACACTGTATCTTATTTCATTTTTCCATTCAACAGACTTGGGTTATCATCACAGCCCTTTCTTCTGAAAACTAGCCTACAACTTCATCGATGAATGCAGAAGACATCTACATGGGACTACGTCTTAAAGATGCCCCCTCATATAATGAAAGAGGACAGTAGAGACAGTGGCGGATCCAGGGGGGGGGGCCGGGGGGCCCGGGCCCCTTGAAAAAAAATCGTGTAAAATCATGTGATTTTTACCTTTTTGGGGGGTTGGGCCCCCCCCCCCCCTGGCGCTCAAGGGGGGGGGGGGGTGCAAATTGAAAAAAATTTTGAGGATAAAAAAAAAAAAAAATGTGCTCACTACCCCCCCCCCCCCCCCCCCCCCCCCCATCCCACTGAGCGAATTTTCGGTCAGCGCGATTTTCAAATTTTCGGGAGCAAAAAAAAAAAAATTGTGCTCTGTACCCCCCCCCCCCCCCCCCCCCCCCCCCCCCCCCCACTGAGCGACTTTTCGGCCGGCGCGATTTTCAAATTTTCAGGAGCAAAAAAAAAAAAGTTGGGCCCCCTCCCCTAAGAAATCCTGGATCCGCCACTGAGTAGAAATGGGTTTAAACTTGAATATTTACATACTATTTATTTATTATTTGTATTATATGTTTGTAGAATACCACATTTAAAAAAAGCTAATGAATTTATCATCTTGTCAACTTTCAAATAATTAAACTAATCATCAATGAATAAACATTAATGACATTTTAACAATGTCAACTACCATCTTATAGGATGAAACTGGGTGCTGGGCAGAAAGAAATTTCCTTGAAATTTGAATGATAAAGATCTATCAGTCTATATCAAAGATTGAATCAATCAATGATATTTTAATTATAATTATACATGTTGAAATTCATTTACCTCAGTCTATGGACTTCTGTATTTGAAGTTTTGTAGATTATTACATTATTGCTGCTTCAAGTATTGTATGTAAGAAGGTTTGAAAGACAACCCTCTAAATGCACTAAATATGGAAACTGCTAATCATCATTGCCTGTTGTATCCAAACTGCTAATTTTAATAGAATCATGTTTTGATACTTCCTAGCCTAAGAAAACAGGGGGGGGGGCTTGTTATCCTCTTCCTGGTGCTGTTTCTAAATGGACCATGTAACAGGTTGCAAAAGTGTAAACAGTATTATATTTGTTATATGTTTATATTAGAAGGATTTAGAAAATGAAAACGTTTCAGTTGAATTATAGAATTACTGTTGCTAGAAGTAATGGCAGTATTGATGTGTAAGGGAAGGGGGTGGTTTTCCCAGTGAAATTAACGGTATACTAATGTCAAATTGATAACAAAGAGAAAACTATTCCTAAAAATAAAATTATAAAGGACATGGGCCTCCGAACTAACTAACCCTGGTACCACTTCTGTTTTTTTTTTTTTTTTTTTTTTTTGTTTTTTTTGGAGGGGGGGCGCCCCAATTTAAAATTTCCAGTGTTAAATTCCATTGTCTTTAAACAAAAAATATGTCAAGATGTTGAAAAAACAATGTTTCACTTTCCGTTTTCAATTCGAATAAAATGATTAACATATTTTCCGATCTCTCTGGTCTCTATATTAAAAATGTTCAAAGCTCCTGCAAAGGCTGCAAAAAGGAAAAGTGAAGATAATCCAAGTGAAATGTGGACAGTAATGGAGTGAATATGGATCAATGGTTGATCGTAGTTGATAACGAGTAAATGTAAATGAATGGTATTATGATTGAAAGTGAGACAGAAAGGAACTGCAACAGGTTGTTCAGTCAAGACAACAAACCGTTAGTTGCAGAAGATAATTTACGAAAGACAGAGAAAGAGAGAGAAAGGGAATCATTAAGGTACGATGAGAGTGGGTGGAGAAAAACCATCCTCTTTGCCACATAATTTGTTTGTATAAAATAAGGACACTTTATACATTAGCATATTTAAAATGTATAATCATAGCCAGAGAATTTGTTGTTATATGGCTTATAGCATGTTTGAGTTAATAAAACAAAAACAGACCCAGTTATTGATAGACTAAAAAGGGAATAGGACATTAAAATATCAGTATTTCTTATTCAATGAAGTTAAGGCCACTCCCCCATATTAAAAAACAACAAAAACACAACAACGAGAGGAACTTTTAAGATCCACTTCCAGATGCATCCTGGGTACACCAGCTGTTATACTGGTGATCGATAATACAAGTTCGAGCGCGTATTTCACCTAACGGTGATCGCATCAGAATAGTCCACATTGATTCGCTGAATCACTTGCGTTGCTAGCGCGCAGCGTTATGAATAAATTACCCATAATTCCGTACAGTAGATTATTTGACCTCTCTAATTACGCTGATACGCGTATTGTCTTTTACCATGTAGTAAACATCATTCCAGTACACTTTTCGCGGGGATCATCCTACAGAATGCATAATTCATAAGGCTCATGAATTATGCAAGGGGGCTTATTTTGGCTTCTAATGGATCCGGACAAAATGGCGGAGCTTGGGGGGCCTGGTTAGAGTAAACGCTTAGATTGTGCACCTTATCAAATTATAGTTGACATTTATACCGACATATTTGCTCATATTACAAAAGGATGTTGGTCACAAATGGTCTAATTTTGCTATTTAAGAATATAAATAAAGTTTTGAAGACCGTTTATTTCGCTCTTTATATCTATGCTCGCGAAATAATGATGCAAAAACAACATCAAAAGACCAGCCATGAAGAGGAGTCTTAAAACACTTAAAACAATAATCGTATATGTTACACAATTATGTATATACATATCTAGATTTATGGCTATACAATATATGTACCCATATATAATTTACAGGAATACAATGAATGTAATAATGGTACATGCATGTATCAAAGAAGTAAATTCCTAATGTATTTGATAATTTTTAAAATTATCTTCCTTTGTAAATAACCTTATTACTATACAATATATGTACGTTTACTCAACGTTTCAGTGGTCTTCTATACAAACATGATTTTTTTTTTTTTTTAAACACTGAATACATATAATAGATGTTGAGAATGAACATATAACTTTTCTCTGCTTTCTTATATGATCAGTGTGCTTCCATGCATCTCAGTGGGTTATGTTACAATTAATATAAGTTAAAAATCGCTTCAAATCACCAACAGCAAGCAAAACCGAAGCTGGTTGTTATGCACTAACCATGCTATCATATCTTGAATGTCAATAATTGTGTGCCCTTTGTCTTTAAAAGCTTGAAAATGTTTGCTTTCTTGCTTTTCTCTGAATTAAAGAACTGTTTCAAACTTTGGCAAAGACATAATTATATACCCATGCATGAGGTTACATATTTTTTGACAACAGTGTTGTGTTTTATTGTAGTAGAGTGTAATCCATATTTAAAGGGCATACATATCAGAAGGGTAAATATAAAACAAGAAAGACAGGATAAGCTAAAACAGATAACAACTCAACGCATACATGTAGATATATCCAATACAGTCTGTTTAATAGCGTCTTCGTAGAGGTTTATGGGCTATACTTTGCATGATACTGGAATGGTAATAGTAATAGAGATTTTCTTCACATATTGTTAATCATACGATACGAAATTTGGAAGGAGTATTGTAGTATTCAGTGGTTATAGCTAATGCTGTATATTGTTCATTGATACATGTATATCGTTAATGAATTATTTACAATTTATAATACATAGTTTACAATATTTTGCCTACTAAGGAGTTTTTATAAACTGAAATTTGATATCTAGTGTATTGTTGCGTATGGTATGCATATTATGCAGTTATCTATGCTATACTACTCCGTTTTTGCCTCCTTTCATACCTTTTAAATTCAGATCTACTATATTGTTTTACTCAGTACGGGAGCCTATTCACATACAAGCTATGCTTTTTATTTAGACTCCCCACATTTTAAATTGTTTTGACCTTGCCTGTCATATCTACATATTTCTAAATTTCGCACTTATTTTCTGTACATTATACTTGATTTGAAATCTTGAATTGTTTGTTCTTTTGTGAAATATATTCTTATAATAAACGCCTGTATATTATATAGAAAAAGAAAGAATCTAAACTTTTTTTTAATGTAAAATGTGGAATAAATAAACTTCAAACTTCAAACCTCTATGTGTTTCAGCGGATTATAATGACAAACGTATCAATTATAGTAGTATGCAAGATGGACTGCATATATGGATTCTTTGAAATTTGAAGGCTTTTTGTTCTTCAATCTGTTCTGTAAACACCGTTTTTGTTTTAATTGAATAATGGATGTGGCAGATCAAAATGAATGGTCGAATTTGCTTGCTTTGCTAATAAATAGCTAAATGAAAATAAATTGTTCTCAGGTTTTTTTCTTACCCTCTTATGTATTGAGTAGGACTTTCATCTTTATTGAATATGATTTTCATGCTTAATGAATAGTACTTTCCTAAAATCAAAGAGTGTTGAAGTCTGGCAAATATAACAAATACTATATATTTCGGTTACTCCTGTTTGGAGTTATATACAGTGTTTATGTATATCATCGTAGAAATGCCCTGTGAGTTTAAAAAGTTGGACTGAATTTCATGTGTGTAGTCCCCTACAACTTTTCATGTGTGCTGCGACGGTTGGTTTTACTGTGATATTTAAGGAAGAGTGTGTCCTTTATATACGGAGAGAGAAATAAGAGGAGAGAGATAGAAAGAGAGAGGGACAGAGATGAAAGATAAAAAAGGGGTAGACGGAGAAACAAAGAGAAGAAGAGAGAACCAGTATTTGCTTGTCTGTTTCAGAGAGAGAGTGAGAGAGACAGACAATAATGAAGAAACTGTATTTTGATTGAAAACTTTTTTCACACTCTTCTCTTGCTAAGATGTGTCCTTGATCATCTAATAAATCGTTTAAAAATCGAATACCTTTATCACACCATTCTTTTAAAAATATACCCTTTCCTCCAATTTTAATCTCAGAATTATACCAAATAGAAATTGCTTTCCAAAAAGGAGTAGTAGTACATTGAACCTGGCGGACAAAAAAAGCTAGTATTTGGAAAAGTTCTTTCCAAAAACAGTTTCTTAGCATAAATGATAGTTAAGTGAAATATATATCACCTTTACCCCATTCCAATGATGATAGTGGAC